GCTACTAGTGCTGCTGCTGCTGATGCTGCTGCTGCTGATGCTGCTACCCATTCTGCTGCTGATTCTGTTGTTGTACATACACGCCGCTATATTATGTATAACTATTTATACTTCTCTGCATTATTAACGAAGAAAATATAATTAAATATATTATTAAATGCTTATATAAACAAATATAACTAAGCAAATACAACTAACTAGTACAACTAAACAAATACAACTAACTAATACAACTAAACAAATACAAGTACTAAATATGTTTATATTCTGAACGTCAGGAACTACAACAAAAGAAAAAGAGACAGAGAAGCACAACTAAACAAATACAACTAAAATAAAAAAGAAGAAATATAACTAAAGAAATAAAGTCAAGCACACTGTGTTTGTTGAGGCGCCCAGACAGACAACAAATAAATAAAAGGAGTTTAAGACAATAGAGACAAAAGAAGACAAACTTTTTACATAAACAAAAAGAAAATGCAAACAAACCAACCAACTACGACATATCTATACACTATTCGTTTATTTGCTGGTTGTTCGGCGGCGGCAGCAGCAGCAGCAACTGCTGCTTTTGAGAATGATGTGCTGCTGCTGCGGCTACTGCTGCAGCAGCTGCTGCAGCAGCAGCATGTTGCTTACAACATGCTGCTGCTACTGCACATACATCTCTCACTGCCTCTGTACTAAAACTGCATTTAGATGCTGCTGCTGCTGCAGTAGCAGCAGCAGCTGCTGCTGCAGCTTTTGTAGCAGCCGCTGCAGCAGCAGATCATACAGCGAGACTTGCTGCTCCTGCTGCGCCTCTTTAGCAAATTGTTTTCGTGTTGCAGCTGCTGCAGCCGTTGCAGAACTGCTGCAGCAGCTGCTCTGCTGGAGCAGCTGCTCTGCTGCAGCAGCTGCTCTGCTGCAGCTGCTGCTCTGCTGCAGCAGCAAATTGATTGGGAGCTGCGTGCGCGTACCTCGACGTTTCGCAGCTGCACCTGTTGCTGGTGCTGCCATACTTTTTGTTGCAGGGGGAAGTCACTATCTGCTGCTACTTGCTGCTGCTGCTACTACTACTACTACTGCTGCTGCTGTTGCTGCTGCTGCTGCTGCTGCTGGGCGGCTGCGGTGTTGCAGACGAGTTTACAGAAACGACACTTCTGCTGCTGCTGCCGGTCTTCTTGCTGCTGAGACCTGCTTCACAAAAACAGCAGCACCACAACACACCAAATGCTCTGTCTAGCTCAACTGCTGCTGCAGCAGCTCCTGCTGTTGCTGCTGCTGTTGCTGCTGCTGCTGCTGCTGCTGCTGCATCGCTTACCCTTTCGCTTTGGTGCGAAGGCAGGACGCAGCTGAAAGTCTCCGCTTCCCTCGCGCACCAGTTTGTTGGAGAGAGCCTGCAGCAGGGGGGACTGCATGAGAGCAGCAATTTGTGCATTGCTGCTGCTGCTGCTGCTTCCGCCCTTTGCTGCCCCCGAGGCGCTGCGAGCCCGGACGAGCCTCCGCATTGCTGCAGCAGCAAGGCCTAGAGTGCTGCTTCTGTTGCTGTTGCCGCAGGCGCTGCGTGCAGCAAGGCCGCTCCTAGATCCGGCGTTGCTGCTGCTGCTGCTGCCTGCAACAGCAGCAGCTGCTTCTTCTCTTAAGATTTGTCTGTGCTGCTGCTTCCTCCGCTGCTTCTGTGCTGCTTGCTGCTGCAGCCGGATAGCAGCAGCTTCTCTCCCTATTGGCTCCGGCATCTTAAACCCAGAAACATTAGAGTGAAGGGGCGGCACATCACCAAAGACAGCAGAAGCAATGCACGGGGTCGTCGCTCCTATCTGAACCAGCACTGGCGTGCTTAGCAAAGAGCCTGCAGCAGCAGCAGCAGCAGCAAAGGCAGCAAACAGTGTAAGTGCAGCAATAGCTAATGAAGCAACAAACAGCAGCAAATGAAGTAGCAGCAGCAACCGCAGACAGGCAGGAGCGAAGGAAGCACAGAAGGGAACACGAGCAGCAGCAGACGCAACAGCAGCAATACAAACCACTGCAGCAAACCCAAATGCTGCTGCTGTTCCTGCAGCAGCAGGAACAGCAGCAGCACAACCGAAGCCACAAACGACTGGCTGCAGCCCCAGCAGCAGCCCCAGCCCTTCCAGCAGCAGGTGCAGCATCAGCAACCGCAGCAGCAGATGCTTGAGCATCAGCAGCAGCAGGTGCAGCAGCCGAAGCACCAGCAAGAGGAGCAATCGAAGGCACAGCAGCAAAAACAGCANCAGCAACAACAGCAGCAGCAAGAGCAGCAGCAACAGCAGCAGGAGTTTCTACGTACCCCAAGTGAGTTGCTGCGCGTTGGCTTCAGTTGCTGCTGCTGTTGCAGATACAGTAACGGGGGATTTCGTAAAGGAATAGCCTGTGGGGCGGCCGCCAGCAATATGTATTTCTTTTTGTTTTGCTTGCTGCTGCTGCTGCTGCGGTGGAGGCCTGAACTCTCCGTGCTGCACCATCTGCCGCATCTCGCTGCTCTTCAGGTTCAAGTGCTGCTCACGCCGACGCTCCAGCTGCTGCCGCAGCTGCTGCTGCTGCAGCTCACGCTGCAGCGTCGTAAACCGCGTACACTCCGCTCGTACTTCGCCTCTGCAACACAAGTAACAGCAGCAGCAGCAGCAGCAGCAGCAGCGACAGCAGCAGGAACCGTTCATGAGAAGCACAGCAACTGTGTCTGCCCTACATATGTGCAGAGAGGGGGTCGGGTTGTGCGGTGTCTGCTGCTTCTGCTGCTGCTCTTGCTGCTGCTGTTACTGCTGCAACTGCTACTGCTGATGTTTCGCCTGCTTGCGCTGCATCTGCCGCTGCTGCTGCTGCTGCTGCTGCTGCAGTGGGTGCCTACCTCGGCATCATGTTGCGGGGATCGTCGTCTCCATCGGTCCCCTTAAAGAAGAGCCGCGTAGCCCCCGGGTGAAACCCCACAGCAGGCCCCTCGGGTACAGTTCTTCCTGCTACTGTGTGCCGCTGCAGCAGTAGCTGTTTGCTGTTGTGCTGCTGCTGCTGCACCCAGAGAGAAGCCCGCTTCTCCTGCAGCTGCTGCTCCCGCTGCTGCAGCAGCTGCTGCGCGCTCGCCTGGTCCTCGGATGTAAACAAATCAAAAAAGTGGTCGATGTCCAGCTGTTTCTGCTGCTGCTGCTGCTGCCGCCGCAGCAGTAGTTCTTCCTGCTGCTGCACTTCTTTCTGCAGTTGCTCAAGCTGCTGCTCCACCAGCTCCTGCTGCTGCTGCGCCAGCCGCTGCTGCTGCTGCTGCTTCTCCAGCTCATCTGCATCCAAAAGACCACCGGCATCACCCTCCTCCTCATCTTCTGAGCTGCTGCTGCTGCTGCTGCTGCTGTTGCTGCATGCATCAACGTCAATGACGTCATCCTGCAGCAGCTCTCTGTGCTCCGCCTTCACCTCTTTCAGCAGCAAGACAGGCTCATCATCATCATCATCTGCTGCTGCTGCTGCTTCTGCTCCCTTCTGCTGCCCCTGTCGTTGCTGCTGCTGCTGCTGCTGCTTCGCTTCTGAAGTTTTGCGTCTTTTGAGCTGTTCCTCCTCTTCTGCTGCACCTTCCACTCCACCTCCCTGCATCTGCTGCTGCAGCTCTTGCTGCTGTTGTTGTTGTTGCTGCTGCCGCTGCTGTATTTGCTGCAGCAACTGTTGCTGCTGCTGCAGCGCTCGCTGCTGCCTCCTAGCAGACTGAAGATATGCTGGCGTTGCATCAGCAAGAGTTGAGATCTGCTGCGCTATCTGCTGCACCTTCTCTTCGTCTCCTTCTCCTTCTGCTGCCAGCAGCTGCTGCAGCAGCCGCAGCAGCGGGAGGTCAGGGTAGTAGCGTTTCTCTATTGTAGCAGCAAGTGCTGCCTCCCACTGTGTCTCCGTCAGCACAACTCGACTGTCTCTCTTTTTTTTTCTTTTGCTGCGCGCAGCAGCAGCAGCAGCAGCTGACGGCAGCATCGCACCGGGTCCTGCTGCTGCTGCTTCTGAAGGAGGAAGCAGAGACAACTGACCAGGATGAAGGGAAGCTGTTGCTGCTGCTGCTTCTGCTTCGGCTGCTGCTGCTAGCCGCGCTGCAGCCACTACACAACCAGGAGCAAGCACAGGAGCCCCACTAGCCAGAGCTGCAATCGCGCTGTTCTTGCTGCTGCTGCTGCTGCTCCTGCTGGTAGCGTATGCTGCTGCCGGAGCTTCCTGCGGCTCCCACCCCGACGCTGCTGCTTCGGGGTGTCGCCGTCGTCGTGCTGCTGCTGCTGCTGCTGTTGCTCCTGCGCCGCAGCCGCGCCGCATGAAGCTGCCAAGGCTCATCGCCGTTCCACTCTCAGCTGCTGCTGCTGCTTTCTTCGCTGTCATGTCCTTGGTTGCTGCTGCTGCAGCATCTGCTGCTGCTGCAGAATCTGCTGCTGCTGCTTCTGCATCAGCACCTGCTGCTGGTTCAGCATCCGGTCGTGGCACTACTTCTGGCGTTCTTTCCAGTGCAGTAGCTCCTGCTGCCGTTGCTGCAGCATCAGCTCCTGGTGCCGCTGCTGCTATTGCTGCAGTCGCATCAGCTGCAGCAGCAGCAGCTGCTGCTGCAGCAGCAGCGGCAGCTGCTGCGGCAGAAAGGCGGGAAGCAGCAGGCGCTGCAGAGATGCTGCTGCCACCATCTTCCTCGGTGCGCTCGTTTGCTGCTTCCGGCTCTGCTGCTGACCTTTGCATGCGCCGCATTTGCAGCCGTTCATAAGCACTATGGGCGATGGAGAAAGATATCAGTGGGCGACCGCTGCTGCTGTTGCTGCTGCTGCTGCTGTTGACGTTGCTGCTGCTGCTGCTCCGTCTTTCATTGCTCGCCTCACCAGCGTTGCTGCCACGGTTGCTTCTCGCAACCAAAGCTCCCCCTTCACCATCACGCTGAGGAGGCTGTGCTGCACTGCCTCTGGCGGCCCCCGGTGCTGCTGCTGCTGCTGCTGCTGCTGCTGCGTTGGCAGCAGCTGAGTCAGCTGCAGCGATAGGTGGGGCATCATGCGGGCACCCAACGGACTGCTGCATCCTCGTAAGGCTGCAGAGGCCGCCTGCAAGTGATAAGCGCGGCTGCTGCTGCTGCTGCTGTTGCTGCTGCTGCTGCTGGCTGCGCTGGGAGGGCTTCAGCCCTGATGCGGAGCAGCTGCGGCTGCCTCATCAAACCCCCCAAAGCAAGCTTTGCTTTTGCTTCAATAGGGATGTTCGATGGATACCGCTGCTGCTGCTGCTGCTGCTGCTGCTGCTGCGGCTGCTGCTGCCGCGGCCGTTGCTACTACTGCTGCTGCGGAGGAGGAGGAGAGAAGAAGGTATGCCTTGAGAGATATCGCAGTTTAATTGTTAATAAAAGAATTATAAAGAAGAAGAGCAGCTTCGGGCTGGCAGCTGCGCTGCTGGCTGTTGACAGTGCCAGCCGCTGCTGCTGCTGCTGCTGCTGCTGTTGCTGCTGCTGCTGCTGCTGCTGCTGATGCTGCGTGGGTGCGTCGATGCCGCTGTGTTACGCTGGCCTCGCTCACGACCTTCCACCTAATGTTATTGGAAAGGAAACAAAATAAAAATTAAGAAATATACAGAAGCGAATTAAAGGTGCTAGCAGAGTCTGCAGCAGCACAACATGCGCAGCAGCAGCAGCGCCGCAGCAGCTGCAGCAGCAGCAGCCGCAGCGCTGGCGGGCGGTGAGACAAGACACGGAGGGGCCCCAGACAGGGAGCAGCCGTCCCCCTCTCTGCCTCTTCCTGCAGCAGCAGCAGCAGACTCCATGTGATAGTTGTGCTTTTCTTCTTCAGCATAAACAGCTGCAGCAGCAACTGCAGCAGCAACAAGAGCAGCAGGAACAAGAGCCGCAGCAGCAACGAGGAGAGCAGCAGCAGCAGCAATCGGAGTGTCGGCTGCCACCTCTTCCGGTTTCCTCTGACGACACCGCCTCAGCAATGCTCCGTCTTTTGTTTTCTTTGTCTGCTTCGTTGCTGCTGCTGTTGCAGCAGCAGCAGCAGCAGCAAGTCGCAGCCTTCCGTGTCGGCTCCGACTCCCGAGGGGCTGCAGCAGACCTTCCACAGCTGCTGCGCCCCACATCTGCAGCTCATACGGCCAGCCTGCAGCAGCAGCAGCAGCCGCAGGTTGCTGTGGTGCCGCAGGCCGCCACCAGCAGCAGCACCAGCAGCGGAACGGCAGCAGCAGCAGCAGCAGCAGCAGCAAACGAAGAGCTGCTTAGCGGCCCCTTGCCAGTCGACCTCCGTGGAAAGACCGCTTTCGTAGCAGGTAAAATTGCTGCTGCAGCAGCTACTGCTGCTGCTGCAGCAATCAGCAGCAGCAGGAGCAGCGGGAGCAGCAGCAGCAACATGACTAGGAGCAGCAGCAGCAGCAGCAGCAGCACAACTACCTGCAGCAACAACAGCAGCATCAACAGCGCCAGCACCCGACCGCAGCACAATCAACACACACACACACACACACACACACACACACACACACGCACACACACACACACCACCACCACCACCACCACAATAATAATACTAATAAAAAAATAATATTGTTGTAATAAGAATAAGAGTGAGTGTGTGTATGGTTTATGTGTATACGCAGGCGTAGCAGACAGCAACGGCTACGGCTGGGCGATATGTAAGCTGCTGCGGGCTGCGGGGGCTCGGGTGCTGGTGGGGAGCTGGCCGCCAGTATACAATATGTTTAAGAAGGGGTTAGAGTCGGGGAGATATAGTAAAGATAATAAGTATAAAACAGAGACCACTGGTCCTGCTGCTGCTGCTGCAGCAGCAAGTGGTGCTGCAGCAGCAGACAACGAACACAGCGTTGATATGCAGTTCTATAAAGTCTATCCTCTTGATGCTGTCTATGATTACCCTGACGATGTGCCTGCAGAGGTAAATAAATAAGTAAAAATATTTATTTTTTTTATTTTTTTTGTTTTCTTGTCTTCCCTTTTCTCTCTTTCTGTGTTTTTGTTAGTTTGTTTGTTTTGTTTTTTTTTTTTGTTTTTTTGCTGTGTGTTTGTTTCTTTGGCCGGTTGCTTGATTCTTTTTCATTTCTTTTTTTTTATTTCTTTTGTTCTCTCTCCGTTTTTCTAGTTATTTTCTGTTTCCCCTCCTGTATTTGTTTTTTTGTCCTATTCTGCTTGCTTGTGGGTTTGTAACGCATTTGCTGCTGCATCTGCTGCTGGTGCTGTGTTTGCTGCTGCGTTTGCTGCTGCATATACTGCGTTTGCTGCTGCATATACTGCGTGTGCTGCTGGGTTTGCTGCTGCATATACTGCATTTGCTGCAGCGTTTGCTGCTGCATATACTGCGTGTGCTGCTGCGTTTGCTGCTGCTGTGCTCTGTGTTTGCTGCAGGTACAGAGCAACAAGCGGTATGCTGGCGTCGGGGGCTTCACCATATCCGAGGTGGCTGAGGCTGTGAAGAAAGACGTCGGCACCATCGATATCCTCGTCCACTCTCTCGCCAACGGACCCGAGGTGGGGCTTCAGAAGGTTTAGGAGGGTTTAGGGTTTATGAGGGTTTCTTAGGGTTTAGGAGGGTTTATTAGGGTTTAGGAGGGTTTCTTAGGGTTTAGGAGAGTTTCTTAGGGTTTAGGAGGGTTTCCTAGGGTTTAGTAGGGTTTGTTAGGGTTCATTAGGGTTTGTAAGGGCTTAGGAGGGTCTGTAAGAGTTTAGTAGGGTTTGTAAGGGTTTAGTAGGGTTTGTAAGGGTTTAGTAGGGTTTGTTAGGGTTTGCTGGGGTTTAGTATGGCCTAGGACGTAGGGTTTAGTAGGTTTGGGGTGTTAGGGTTTAGTAAGGTTTAGTAGGATTTAGGGTTTAGTAGGGTTTGTTGGGGTTTGTTGGGGTTTCTTAGGGTTTATTGGTGTTTAGTGTGTATGTTTGAGGGCCTTCTCTTTAGGGTTTAGGGTTTAGGGTTTAGGGTTTGTGGTGGTTGGTTTGTGTTTAGGTGACGAAGCCGCTGCTGCAGACGTCTCGCAAGGGTTACTTGGCTGCACTGAGCAGCAGCAGCTATTCTTTTGTTTCGCTGCTGCAGCACTTTCTCCCTATCATGAATAGAGGGGGATCGGCCCTCGCCCTCTCCTACATTGCCTCCGAACGAGTCATACCCGGTAGGGTTTAGGGTTTAGGGTTTACTTGGGTTTACTGCGTATATATATATATATATATATATATATATATATATATATATATATATATATATATATATATATATATGTGTAGATAGATGAGCTGCAGCGTTGTTGCATTTGCATTTGTTTGTGCAGCTGCATTTATTGCTGCTGCTGCACTGTTTGCTACATAAAGTTTTTTGCTGCTGGTCTTGCTGCTGCTGTATATGTGCTGCTGCTGCTGTGTGTGCTGCTGCTGCTGTGTGCGCTGCTGCTGCGTGTGCTGCTGCAGGGTACGGAGGTGGTATGAGCAGCGCGAAGGCTGCGTTGGAGTCGGACTGCCGCACGCTGTCCTTTGAGGCGGGCCGCAACTACGGGGTCCGCGTCAACTGCATCAGCGCGGGGCCGCTGAAGAGCAGAGCTGCAGCAGCAATAGGCAAAACGGGAGAAAAAACATTCATAGACCTCGCCATAGACTACTCCAGAGAGAATGCGCCACTGCAACAGGTATATACAATCTTTATGTATATATATATATATATATATATATATATATATATATATA